TCTCAAGCCCAACCTTCCTAATTAGTCACCCATTACGTACTCCTTGCCCTTGCAGGGTTCACAACAACCCCAGTATCTGCAATCCAGCTGTCTCCTTACCAGGAAGCTTCATTGGTCCCTCTCACAGTTCCAGCCGGCAACCCGGAAAGGTTGGTCTGCCCAGGCTTTAGGTGCCTGAAGGACACCCTCACTTTGGTTCATACTTTCGGAGTGTATGCCCTTTTCCTCCGGTGCGTCTAAACCGGCGCTTTGGATAGTGTGTCCCCCACTAAAGGATCTGGTCCTACAGTTCTCCAATCTCAGGTTCCGGTTCAAATTCAGCCTTTCATGTGATACCGTCAAAGATCGCTGCTATTCCCCAACTCAGGATTTGCCAAGCAGGTTCCAGAATCTTCTCATTCCTCGGTGTTATCAACACTATCGGGATATCCTATAGCCACTCGGTAGTACGGTGAGTAAGAATTTATATCAGCTTTTTTTTTAATAAATGACTATAAAAATTGTAATAATTTTAATAAAAACTAACTCAACTTCATACTTGTGCTAGAGATTTTTTATATTACTTATAAGAAGATTATAATAATTTTAATACAACCAAACCATAATACAAATAAGATGATTTAAAGTATATATTGCAATTAATAGAAATCAAACAGATTGATATTTAAAAAAAATTAATATATTAATTTAAATAATCTATATTTTGATTTAGAATTTAAAAGAAAAATTAAGATTTAAACTTTCTTTTAAATATTAATCTACCAATATATATTGAGATATAGATTATAAAAATTAAGAGATTGATTTTTTTAAATAATAATCTGTTTGATCCCTATTAATGACAACTAATATAATGCTATCACAATTATATCAACAAACAATCTAATTCATGAAAATCAATTTGCTTTTTTTTTAATATACAAATACAGGTTGAATAAAAGCAATTTTGACTTCAATTTATATAATATAATCTTAATAAACCTTATTTAAAACAAATATTTAGCAAAAATAAAAGATCTTTAGAATATTAATACATATTGAAATGCCAATAGCTTAATTAATAAATTAATAAAGTTTGTCAAATAGCTTTATTGATTTATTTATAAAGTTATTAGCTTTTTTATATATATTGAATACTTATATAAAGATAATTAATATTCTAAAGATCTTCTAATTCTACCAAATATCTGTTTTATATAAAGTTTATATCAGTATTATATTATATCAGTTGGGCCTAATTTATCTTTATTTGATTTGTAAAACTATTATACAAATTAAATAATCTGTATATATAATAGTAAATAGAGAATTATATAAATTTGTAAAGTAAATATATAACTATTAGGAGGTTTATTAATTTTTACTTAAAAACAAAAAATAAAATAAATTTAATAAATATTTAAAAAGAAAATAAAATATAATAATTATAAAAAAACTAATTTAATATATATATTAAAAATTATTTATTCATTTTTAAAAATTTAATTGTATCCAACCTCTGTTATTATCTTTATAAATAGCATAAAATTTTTTATTTATTTTAAACAAAGATAAATTTTCTGTAATACAAATTTTTGAAATAACTTGTTTTTAAAACTTGTTAAAGGATTTGTTTTATTTATTGAAATTTTAAAGTAACTTCTTTCTATATTTTTATATATTCTACTTTATTCTATCCTTGATTATTTATAGTTAAATTATGATATATAAAAGGTATATTTCAATTCTAGTAAGCTTAGTTTTATAAAGTTTAAAATATATATAATAACCAGATTGTAAACATTTTATTATTTTTTATTTAGTTAATTCTTTAAAATTTGTATAATTATATTCATAGTTAAAATATTTTTTAGATATATGTGTTATGCAATTTTTAATAAATAAATTCTAAATTTTATTAATTAATAAGTTTATTTGTTTAGTAGTTGGATTATCAATACTATAATTAGAGTCATAACTAATATTATTATTGGTATTATTATTATCTATATTATTATTATTCATATTATTCTCATTGTCCTTATTATTAGTATTATATCTGTCAACTTCTATATTAGAATTAGTAAATAATTAAATATTTAAAATTGGTTTACTAAAAAAATTTTTTTTTTTTCTTCAATATTATCA